GTTTGTTGAGTTGTATGAGTACTCTATATATTTTGGAAATTAACCCCTTATCTGATGTATCATTGGCAATGATGTTCTCCCATACAGTGGGTTGCCTTTCCATTTCGATGGTTGTTTCTTTTGCTGTGCAGAAGCTTTTTAGTTTGATGTAGTCCCATGTGTTCATTTTTTCCTTTGTTTCTGTTGCCTTAGGTGATGTATCAGTGAAAATTCTGCTGCGTATGATGTCCAAAATTTTGTTGCCTACATTTTCTTCTAGAATTTTTATGGATTCACGGGTCACATTTAAGTCTTTTATCCATTTTGAGTTTATTTTTGTGTATGGTGTAAGTTGATGGTCTAGTTTCATTTTTTTTTTTTGCATATAGCTGTCCAATTTTCCCAGCACCATTTATTAAAGAGGCTGTCTTTACTCCATTGTATGCTCTTGCCTCCTTTGTCAAATATTAATTGAGCATAGTGTCTTGGGTCTATTTCTGGGTTCTCTGTTCTGTTCCATTGGTCTATATGCCTGTTCTTGTGCCAGTACCAGGCTGTTTTGATTACAGTCGCTTTGTAGTATAACCAGATATCTGGTATTGTGATGTCACCTACTTTGTCCTTCTTTTTCAATTTGCTATGGCTATTCGGGATCTTTTTTGGTTCCATATGAACTTTTGAAGTATCTGTTCTAGTTCTGTGAAATATGTCGTTGGTATTTTGATGGGGATTGCATTGAATCTATAGATTGCTTTGGGTAATATGGACATTTTAATGATGTTAATTCTTTCAATTCATGAACAAGGTATGTGCTTCCACTTTTTTATATCTTCTTCTATTTCTTGTTTCAATGTCCTGTAGTTTTCTGCAAATAGGTCCTTTACTTCTTTGGTTAAGTTTATTCCTAGGTATCTTAATTTTTTTGTCGCAATGGTAAATGGGATTGTTTCTTCAGTTTCTTTTTCTGTGAGTTCATCATTGGTTTATAAGAATGCCATCGATTTCTTGACGTTAATTTTGTATCTTGCTACTTTGCCAAATTCATTTATTACGCCTTGCTTAATTTTTAAAAATTCTCTGTTGCCTACAACATGACGTCTGTAGCTTGACATTTATGGGACTTTCCAGCTATGTATTTCATTCTGCAACATTTATCATAGATTTGGTAATACCAATTCCTCCCAATTCCTTAATAATGTCCCATACCACTGTCTGTATCATTCCCCTTGCTGAGAATGCACTTCTCCAGTTTTCTGCCTGATGTTCTCAGTCTTTAAGGCCCAGGTCAAGGGGGACTTCCAGGTGAGGCTTTCTCTGACTTCTGTAGGTAGACCTACTCCCTGTTATCTATGGGTCCCTTTAGCACTATTTCTATGTCTTTATTTATCATTCTGTATTATAGTTCTTTATATGCCAATCTATTTTTTTTATCCTCACTCGAGGGCATTTTTTCATTTTTTGTTCAGATTGAGTGGGAAGGGAGAGAGAGAGAGAAACAACAACATGAAAGGGACACATCGAGTGGTTGCCACCCGCATGACCCAACCAGGGCCGGGGACAAACTGCAACCGAGGTACATGCCCTTCGCGGGAACTGAACCCGGGTCTCTCTGGACCGCAGGCCGACGCTCTAACCACTGAGCAAAACTGGCCAGGGCTATATGCCAATCTTTTCTTGGACTATCAACCCTGTGAAGGCTAGGACCCCTTAGACCAGTGGTTCTACTGGGCAACTGTACAATCTCCTAGAGTGCATTTTGCAAATTCATGGGGGTGTTTCTTGTTATTATTGTCGTACAGTGATGAGTGGGGCAAAGGGTGCTACATAACTTGCGATGGACAAAGCATGACATTTGAATGACTTTCAAATGTTCCACAGGGCACTGATGGAGGTAATAAAACTGTTTATATAACTGTCTGAACCCAGGACTTACTTCTACTGTATATATGAACACATTAATATACAGTAAATGTCCCATGAATTGAACTGCTATGTACATTAGGAGAGGATTTTGTTTCATTTGGAAATTTACCAAGAGTTTTTCACCTTGGCATCACCTCTAGCTCATTACTAACAGCATTGCCACTTGCCATTTCTGAAGTGCCAACAGAACACGCCTGCATGTTATAACATCAGACTGCATTTGAAGCTGCAACATTCACAGTGATTTTCGTTACAGGTATAAGCCCCTATTTCTTTGTCTTTTTAATAGAGTTGTGCTCAAGAATTTACATATTAAAATAAACATTCTTGCCCTGGCCGGTTTGGCTCAGCGGTTAGAGCGTCAGCCCGCAGTCCAGAGAGACCCGGGTTCGGTTCCCGCTAAAGGCACGTACCTCGGTTGCAGTTTGTCCCCGGCCCTGGTCGGTTGTGCAGGTGGCAGCCACTCGATGTGTCCCTTTCACATCGATGTTTCTCTCTCTCTCTCTCTGTTCCTCTCTCTCCCTCCCACGCTACTTGAACAAAAAATGGAAAAATGTCCTCGGGTGAGGATAAAAAAAAATAAATAAAAAATAAAAAATAAAAAAATAAAAAAATACATAAACATTCTTTTATTATAAATTACTCTCTTTTTATGTCTTCACATGATTGTTTTGAGACTTATATTAATTTGAATCCATATATAAGGTATTTAGAGTTGCCCCTGGCACATAGAAAATGCTACAATATGTGCTGATTTTATTACTACAGAAAATTTGTTGAATACTCATTGATAAATATTTAAATTATACTTGGAATATATATTTCAGAAAGCCTATAAATTCACTTCTAGGTTTTACATGATAATAATCTGAACCATGTGAGTGTGATTAAATGTTCCTAAGATGTTATAGGAAGTGCTTCAATATTTCTTTTTGTCTAGGAGATTAAAGTAGGATATAATTATCACTGTGACCAATTTTCCCTGAACCATTCATACTCCACTGTGGTCCTGAGGAACAATAACTTGAATTGACAACTCTAGTTCGGTTTTTGCCTATAAAATAGTTTTCCTAAGTGCAAGGCTAACAGGTCCAGAGGGATAATTATGACCAGTAATGTCACTAATAAACAGCTGCTATATTTATTAATTTTGCCTTTGTTGTAAAACAAAGACAGTTACAATGTGAGTGAGGTTTGCAATATCTGACTCACTGATTATGTCTTTATGGCTGCCACTCATTTTAAGAACGGCCTCACTCTCTTTCAGGTTGTTAATATTGATGATGATAGTAGTTACCATGTTTTAAACAATATGCCAGACACCTCGCCTATGTTATTTTTAATCCTTACAAATAACTGAACATTAGGTATGTTTATGCCTATTATACCGAGGAGGAAACTACTCAGGGGATTTATGTAACACGTTCAAGACCACACATAAAAAAATTGCTGACACTCACATTCAGTTTCCAAAACCTGAGTTCATTCTTTCATATCACTTTGCTTCCCTCAGTAAAATCCAAGAGATTGGCTCTGACCAGTTTGGCTCAACCGTTAGAGCATTGGTACTTGGACCGATGAGTTTTGGCTTTGATTCCTGGTCAAGGGCACTTGCCTGGGTTGCAGGTTCGATCCCCAGCCCTGGTTGGGGTCGTGCGGGAAGCAACCAATCAATGTGTCTCTCTCACATCAATGTTTCTCTCTCTCCTGCTATCCCTTCCTTCCACTCTATCTAAAAATCAGTGGAAAATTATCTTCAGGTGAGGATTAACAACAACAAAAAATGTGTTATAGAATATTTTCAAGAATCCCATCATAAAATTTCCATATATTTCAATATGTATCTTGTAAAAAGCCTATGAACTTTAATTTTTATTTATAACTATCAAATTACATGCATATACATCATTTTCTGAGTGTGCTAACGAGATTTCCAACCAAAATGGAGAAACAGTGTGGCCAAGAGTGATTTCTTCTGTCCTCATTGTGGCCTAAGTACCCAGGCTGGCCACCTCCAAGTGAGACGCTCCATCTATTTACCATGACACCTACAAATATTATCATTTGTCATTTGTGCAATGACTGCTCTTTTTATCCTGATTCCAACCTCTGTATATATAAACAAATAAATTAAACCACATATATTTTGCTTTATTATTGGTCTAAGATCTCTAAGAGTACCTGGTAATTGCAGATATACTCTAGGGTTCCTTTAGAAAGTATGTTTTCAGTAAATTAAAAGTCCAGTGGAGGACAGGAATTCCCTCTGAGGTAACTTCCAAGAGCGATAATATAGATTGATGCAACTATTTTCACCACAGTGAGGGTTCTTTCTTCAATATTAAAACCATATTGCACATTCTGTAGTCATAAATCATTCAGTGTGGTAGGCAAAATTCTAATGGCCCCCATGATTCCTACTTCCAGGTCTCCACACCTTTGTATAACCCCCACCCCTTCAGTGTGGGCAGGACCTATAACTTGCTTCTAACCAATAGAAAAAGAGAAAGGTAATAGGATATCACTACATAGTTATGTTACATTATATGGCAAAAGTAAAGGGATGTTACAGATGTAATTAAGGTCCCTACTCAGTTGACTTTAAGTTAACCAAAAGGGATAGCATACTAGTGGGCCTGACTTAATCAGGTGAGCCTCTTAAAAGTGTATCTAGAAGTGAGAAAAACCACAGTGCCCCCCTCCCCCTGCTTCTGACTGTCTGTCTCTCCGTCTCTCTCTCTCTCTCCACTGCTGGCTGTAAAGAAGCAAATGGCCACAACTCTACAGCCATATAGAAATAAATCCTTCCGACAACCTGAGCGAGCTTAGCAGTGGGCCTTTTCTTAAGTGAGCCTCCAGAAGAGAAAGCAGCCCGCCTTGATTTCAGACTTGTGAGTCCCTGAGCAGAAAAACCAGCTAAGCCACTCCTAGACTTCTGACCTACAGAAACAGTGGGATAATAAATGTATATGGTTTTAAACCACTAAGTGAGCAGTCATTTGTTACGCAGCAATAGCTAGCTAACACATTTCGAAATGAGAAAGCAGGACCCATGAAAGCATGAAGGGAGTACCTGAGGAAGTACAGCCCGGCCTCACCTGCACTTCCATGCTAGTTGGCTCCTCCAGCAGATGCAGTAGTTGTTGTTTCTCTAGAGAGAGCTGTTCTACTAGCTTCTCCTGGGCAGCCAGGTTCTGACTCAGTTCTTCAATTTGTCTGGATCAAAAAGATAAGAACAATAATTATGGTCATGATACGATTATTACCTCCAGCCCAGTCCACAGTTCAATACAGCAGGTTTTTAGCTTTTGGGGTCATTGAACTCTTTGATTCTTTTCTTCAAAAAGCCATGTATGCTCTGCTCCAGCCCCCAAATATTTACACAAGTGACTTTTTGCTTACATTGTCACCAGATTTATGGGCCTCCTCAAGCCAATTCATGGATCGACAGACCATAGGTATGTAGCTCTTGAAATAAGGGCCCAGAATTATGGTTTTGGGGGTTGTTATTGTTGCTTCACTCAAGAAATAATTCTTAGATAACCATTATGTATATTCAGTATACTCTACCAAGAACTGGAAAAGATGCAATCTCTGCTCTTTAGTGTGCAGAAACTTAAATTCTATTAGTGTGCAAACCAAAAGTTTGGAGACCGGGGAAACATAGCAAAAGAAACAAATAGTGGAAACAGGCTGTAGTAAGTGCTACCACACCAGAGGTGTATGTACACCGTGTAGTACACATTGTGTGCTGCCATAGAGCTGTATCAGAAGACAGATTAAAAAAACAGTCATTCATTTGACTGCAAAGAGTCTGGGGAGGCTCAGGAGAACAGATTTTTGAAGATTGAGTTATTTCGCAGGCTCAGAAGGAGGAGCTTGAACAGAGGAATGAAGATATGAACAGACGGGTATTTGGGGAAGTCACTGGTAGGGGAAAGGGGAAAAGGCTGGAGGGAGAAACAATGGCTGGAGAAGAGGCTGCACATTTAGACTAGGATTAAGTTAAAAGACTGGATGCTGTGCTGAAGTATACAAACCACAGCTTCAAATCAACAGTTATTCATTATCTACAACGCGCAAGGCATATCTTGCTGTTTCTCTGTTTGTAGGTCTTAGAGTACCAGAGACACCTTCCCTTGGAAAATGTGCCATACTAGGTGAAATATTTCCCACCGTGATGCTTATGCCTGTGTAAGTGCAAGACAGAGATAGCACTTTGGAAGGAAAATAGTTTGCCAGAGAGGTGAGGGGTACCAGAAAGTCAAGTAGGAATCTCAGAGACAAAGTATTAATTCATTTAGGGTGTGAGAATCAACTAAGCCTTTGGGCTAAGAACTTTAGGGACTTAAGAACATTATGCAAATACAAGCTGTAATGATAACAATTCTGATGATGAATGTGGACTCCATATCAAATTCCCCATGATATCTGTGCTGGAACATCTCTACTTTTCTTCTTTTTCTCTTCAGATAGAGTGGGAGAGAGAAAGAGAAAGAAAAATAGCAACGTGAGAGAGAAACATTGATTGGTTGCCTCCCGCATGACTGCGACCAGGGCTGGGGATCAAACTGCAACTGAGGTACATGCCCTTGACTGGAATCAAACCTGTGACTCTTTGGTCTGCATGCCGATGCTCTAACCACTGAGAAAGCCGGCCAGGGCTCTACTTTTCTTATTTTTTTATCCTCACCTGAGGACATTTTTGCATTTATCTTCAGGTAGAGGAGGAAGGAGAGAGGGAGAGTAAAAGAGAGAGAAACATCAATGTGAGAGAGACACATCGAGTGGTTGCCACCCACACAACCCCAACCAGGGCCGGGGACAAACTGCAACCGAGGTACATGCCCTTAGCAGGAACCGAACCCAGGACTCTCTGGTTCGTGGGTTGACGCTCTAATTGCTGAGCCAAACCGGCCAGGGCATCTAATTTTCTTAAGCCTCAAACCTCACTCATCGCTTTGACTCTCTGTCTCTACAGATGATCTATTTCTCCTTTACAAAGCTGATCAAGGCCATCTTATTGAACTCCCTCAATTTATTTGTCAGGTGTGAATATGCTTTCTTTCTTTTTTCTTTTAGTTTAGCACGTGTTTATTGAGATACAGAGACAAGACCAAGTCTCAGGGAATCTAGCAGGAAAGATCTAGAAGAAAATATACCACCACACTGAGTTGTGCAAAAAAAGATGTACATATAAAACAAAGCAACAATATAGACTTAATTCTGCCAACACAAAAGCCTTCAGAGAAGAAACAATTTATGCCTTAGTGAGTGTTTAAGAATAAACAGGAGTTCGCCAGGAGGAAAAAGACAGATGCTCCCCACAGAAGGAAGAGCATGAGCAAAATTCTGGAGATGTGACATAGCATTCCTGCTTTGTGTGGAGTCAGCGTGGCTTCAGCGTTCGGATTCCAGCTATGCCTGAAGCCATGTTAATAACTCTCTAAATGTCGGTTTCTACATTTATAAAGTGTAATAACTCCTATCTCATGGAGTTGTTAGGAGAATTAAACAAGAAAGTAAAATATTCAGCTCAACTGTATAGTAAAAGCTCAACAAACCTCAGTCATCATCATTATTACTCATCTGGCGTCACTGAAATGTGAAGGGGTCTTGGGGGGAAGATTCTGGGAGAAATCAGGGGTTGGATCATACAAGGCTTTGATGGCCACACTAAAAGGAATGGATCTTATGTCCTGAAGATGGTGGGAGGCTTTTTAAATGGCATGCTCAAATCTGTGTCTCAAAAAATCACATTGAATAAATTAATAAAAATTAAAAAAAAAAAAAAAGAAATGCCAAGGTTGTTCTCTATTTTCTACGTCACGGGACATACAAATAAACAGTATATTTTACTTGAAAAAAAGGTATGAATATAAAAAAATGAAAATAGTCCTGGCCAGTTTGGCTCAGTGGTTGGAGCGTCGGCTTGCAGACCAGAGAGTCCTGGGTTTGGTTCCCGCTAGGGGCACGTACCAAAAAAAAGAAAAGAAAAACCTTTTATTTTGGAAAAAACAAAACAAAAAAAGATCACATTGGTCATTGTGTGTACATTATGTGTATCTACCTATCCAGTTACAAACCACTTAAGGACCGTCCTGGCTGGTGCGGCTCAGTTGGTTGGCTGTGCAGTGAAAGGTAGCCGGTTCAATTCCCAGTCAGGGCACATACCTGGGCTTCGGGTTTGACCCCTGGCTGAAGGCAACCAACTGCTTAATGTTTTGTTTTTGCTCTCTCTCTCTCCCTTCCGGTCACTAAGCATCCTAGGGTGAGAATTAAAAACAAAAACTAAAAAACAACCACTTAGGGACTTTTATGCCCATCAGGTCATGCATCTAAGAGGCTAAATTAGTTGTCAACTTGATAATGTTGAGTTCTCCACTTCAAAACTGCTCTGAATTATTAGGTTGGAATTATTAGGTTAGGGACAGGACCGGAAGTGAAGAGAATAGTTAAAAGTTGCTGCAGTAACCTAGACAGTTCCTTGTTATGGCCCAGAAAGCTGACACACTCGGACCCCGTCAGCACAGCCTGCCTCTCCCTGGTCTTCCCAGACCCTGCTCTAGTCAAGCAGAACTACTTGCAGGTGTTGGAACATGCCATCCCCTGTGTCTCCTCTCCATTTCTCCTTCCGCACCGCACATTTCTCTTCCCCACCCACTTCCTGTGCTTTCTTCTAACTTCTATCCATTCTTCAAAACTCGGCTCAGATTTCAGCTCCTCTAAGAAACTTCTAGTCTGGAAGAGATGACAATCCTGCATGTCCCGGAGCACCCATGTTACTTCCATCAGAGAACTTATTAAGACCGTGCAACATGTTTCCTTTTGTTGTTGTTAACCCTCACCCAAGGATATTTTCCCATTGATTTTTAGAGGGAGTAAAAGGGAGGGAAAGGGAGGGAGAGGGAGAGATCGAGACAGAGAAAGCGACATCCCAAACATGCCATGACCAGGGCTAGGGATTGAACCTGCCCTTGACCCGAAATCAAACCCACAATTCTTTGGTACAAGACCGACGCTCTAACCACCTAATAGCATGGCCAGGGCTAGACTATGCAGTTACTTTTTTCCCCCTTGAATCAACACTTTTTATATAAAAAAAATTGTTGAAAGTATTACAGATGTTCCTCCTTTTTTCCCCCCATTGACACCCTCCTCCCCGCTTCTGCCCCTCCCCCACCTTCACCGAACTGTGCAACATGTTTCTTTCTTTCTTTTTTTTTTTTAAATCCTTACCCAAGGATATTTTTCCATTTATTTTCTGACAGAGTGGGAGGGAGGAAGGGAAGAAGAGAGAGAGAGAGAGAGAGAGAGAGAGAGAGAGAGAGATCCACTGGTTGCTTCCCGCATGACCCCAACCAGCTGGGGACCGAACTGCAACTGAGTACATGCCCTTGACCAGAATCAAACCCAGAACTCTTTGGTCCACGGGCTGATGCTCTAACCACTGAGCACACCGGCCAGGGCTGCAACATGTTTCTTGATGAACGAACTGGGTCTTTAGTCTCTGTAACCTTAGTGCTTAGCTCAGTGTCTGGAATGTAGCAGGTGCTCAATAAATGTCTGTAAAATGAAGTAAACCCACAACTCTTGCTTGCCACCATTAGACTACTGTTCTATTTATATCTACTCAAGACTCCTGATTGCCAACAAATGAGTTCCCTTAATGAATACCATTGAAGACTCAACCCTAAAAAGAAAATCTTTGGGTGTAGCAGCCATAGTGTCTTAGAAACGGACAATATAAGTCCTTGAAAGGGATGCACTGGCCAGTTTGGCTCAGCGGTTGGAGCATCGGCCTGTGGACCAGAGAGTCCTTTGGTTCCCGCTAGGAGCATGTACCAAAAAACAAAAGGGAACAGTGCAGCTGCTATTTAGGCTCATGGCCTCGAGAACAGGCAAAAGCCAAGTGACAAATACAGCACCAAAGGCACCTACCTGTCCCTCTGGGCCAGGGTCTCAGTGTATTGGTCGGGCTTGGCCCGGTCACCTGGGACATCTTCCCTGTCCTTGGTGACGGCCTTCAGTTTCTCTGAGAGCTCCAGGTTACACTCTTTCTCTGCTTCCACCAGAGCTGCCATCCGCGCAGCTTCATCCTTTGCTAGCCTGGATTCCTGCAAAAAGAAAAAACCGAGAGGCTGCAAAGTCCTCGCTGAGTTTAGGAGCCCTGAAACACAGGGCACTTGATGAGTTTGGGAAGCAAAGGAGGGAGGGGAAGGTGAACACAGGGGGCAGAGCAGTAGGGAAAGAGGTGCAGGAGGAGCCCTGGCCTTTGGAACGCCCGCTCACCTCCTGCAGAAGCTGAATCTTATTCTCCAGCAGCTCATAAACGTGCTGTGTCTCCTGCTGTCTCTCCTCAAACTGGCGCCGGAGCTCAGCTTCATTGTGGCTGTTTAGATTCTCCACATCCGCACTAAAACCACGGAGCATAAGCCAGTCAGAGCCAGTCATATAAGTTAGCAAGTGAAGCCACCGAGGTTGCTTCACACTGACGAGAAGAAAAATGAAGCATTTTCCCCTCTGCAGTTAATTGTGGAACTGCTCTCCCCAACCTTTCCAGGTAATCTTTTAGGATTTTCCAGGTAATATTTTAGGTTTTTGTTGCTTGTCAATCAATACACTTGACTCCCTACAGGCTTCACTATTGCTGTAGCTTCCTGTGGGGAATCTCTCGACCAGGTGGGTAGCCATCCAGTGTTTCAGAACTGAGCTTCCATGTCCACTATCATCTGTTCCTGGACTCCTCCATTCAACTGACCTCCCAGAGTGCTCTGCTAGTTCCCTGCCTTGCTTGCTATTTGAATGAAAAGTGTTTCTTCCATGTAGGTTGCTGGGACAGAATATCCATTTGGACAACCACAGAAATGCTCTCCTCCTCTATAGCCAGTAACCCCTCAATATCTGCCCTGAATCTGGGCTACTGGTTGAGAATTCGATCTAGTTTTCCCATGGTCCCCTGCAGAGAGCAGACATGTAATCTATGGAGGTAGTCCAGCTTTGTTCCTCTGACGTCCTTAGGAATGAATGTCCAGGCGCTAGCATGAAGCGGGTAAGGTGTCACCAGCTTATTTTTAGCTAACAACAGCTGCCCTTGGATGTCTGAGGATTAGAAATTTGGGAGCAGTATCAGGTGCTGAATGATCTTAATTCCGGTTTGGTTTTATTCCTGCTTTAAGCCATTTGTTGAGAACCATGGACCATCGTCTTGCTCTCCGGGCAGAGAGCAACATTGAACCGTCATAGGTTCATGATAAATCAAAGCTACTCTACCCAAGCTCAGTGGTACTTTAATATTTGACCCAGAAGGTTGTGTCCATGGAGACCAAATGCAGCTTCCCTAAAGATTACCAGATTCCTTGGTTACTGGTGGACACCACTCAGTACCATCCCAGAGGCTATATTTAACTTGAGCCTTTGGAGTATAGAACGATCTTGGTTGTACAAGGGACACAATTCAAAACAATAACCCTATGTAGGACGACCCCTAAAAAGGCAGGCCCTGGAAATCATCAGCTTTTACTTTGACTCAATGTTCCTTGATAAATGCAATAGACACAAGTTAATTATAATATCTTGAGAATGGAAATTATACATTTTCTGGGTAGCTCAGTTGGGCAGGAATTCCTGATTTAACAGGCTACAGCTGTTGTCAAGTCAGAAGAGCCTTGAATTGATGCCAGAAGATGTGGGTTCTGCCACTCATTTGAGAAGACTTTAACACTCTGTACCTTAGCTTTTTCATTTCTAAAAATGGATCATGCCACCTAATTAAAAGCTGAAACTACATAAAAAGTGTTAAAAGTATTAAACAAATCTCAATAGTTATTTTATATGTTTTCCTAGAGTCTATCAGCTCTCTTAATGCTTTAGTAATTGTTTAATAATACCAGGATATTGTGTATTGTTGAGTCTGGTTTTGAGTATTCTGATCTTGGTGGACTTGTCAGACTAAATATCAAGAGATACTGTAGTGACAGAAAGAATGCCAGATCAGAGTGAATGTACACTGATCATAGGATATAATCTGAAAATGATTTTTAATGATAATTTTAATAATATTTACCATTTAAAACAGTTTTTAGTTATAAAAACTATAAATTATAAAAGTAACTATTTTAACAACACAAAAGTATATAAAGAAAAAGCAAGTCTTCTTCCCATCACAAACTCCAATCTCACTCCCTTAGTATTAGCAATGTTAAAGATTTTGATACATAACCCTCCAGTTTTTTCCTATGCACCATCGAGCAAACACATGTACCCACAGAGAGGACTGTTTGTCTTTACTCAAAGGGGCTGATACTATAAACATCACTCAGCACTTTCCCCCCCTTACTTAGTCTGTCAGGGACTTTCCACCAGGATAACAACATAGAGCTAACTCATTCTTTTTAACGACTGCATAATATTCCACAGTATGGTGAGTTCAAAATGCCTCAGCCATGGCTCTGTTGATGAATAGTTAATTCTAGGTTTTTGCCATTACAAATAATGATTCAGTAATTATCTTTATACATTTATCTTTTCATACTCATGCTTTTATTTGTAAGGAATACATTCTTTCTAAGGTTTATTTGATCAAAAGAAAATGCTTATTTTTTACTTTGCTAGGTAGTGCCACATACTAAAAGTGCTGCCACAATCCACACTCTCACCAGCAGTGTATTCTGGGAGTGCTTATTTTGCCCAAACTCCATGCCAGCCCTTGGTTTTATTGGTAGATTATTGAATAGGAATTTTATAAGCTTAGGTCTGTTGCATATACCAATCCATGGCAAGGCCTGTCAGACTTAATAACAGACACAGCGCCCAAGGGAAATAAAGCACGTTATTTCATTTCCTGAAGCAGACACAGCATCCAGATGCCGGAGTTCAGGGTAAGGAATTTGGTTCCAAATCTATTGTTCTCAGATTAGTGAGCCAGACTCTGAAAGGGATCAGAACTCATCTAGTACGAACTATAACTCACCAAGTTTTATCCAAATGCTGTTTCTTGTCCTGGAGTTCTCGTTTCAGGCTCTCCACTTCAACCTTCAGCTCGATGTTCTGAAAAGCACACAGACATGAATTGTCATTACCTGCCTCAGACCCTCTACCCTGGAACCAGGCTCCTGCTTGAACTTGCCTTGGTCCTCAACTGGTCATCTCAACTCAGCCCTCTTCCTGGCCCCTGACACATGTGGATTCAGATGGGTCCGTGGCCCAGCCAGTGATGAATGAACATACACTTAAGGATTTCCTCGGAGCTACTCACTCACCCTCCCAGTCTGTTCCTTGCTGGCCCTGGTGAGGAGCACTGGCCAAGCCTGCTCACTCTCTAAAGCACTGGAGGACAGGGTGTATATGAAAATAATTTTTTTTCTTGCCAACACAGTTCTGTTCCTGAAAACCAAAGTGCTGGGTAGAGGATTGTATTTCAAATATACCTCAGGATTTAATTATTTAAAGAAGTTATGCTGTGAACACTTTTGAAAACAATACACTGCCTTTATCATAAAATTGGACTTGCACAAATTGCCTTTCTTTAAGGTGACAGGAGATTCTGATGGCAAATCTACGAAGGGAGCAATTACTTTTTATTGAGGTGAAGTAGCAACAAGTCAGATTTTGACAAACGGCAGACGGAAATAAGAACATCCCAAGTGAAGTCAAGTGTGAGCAAAGATCTGGTGAGAGGTTGTCCGTGCAGTGTCCGGAGCAGGGAAGTGGCCTGGGGTGGTGAGGAGTGGGAAATCAGCACAGAAAACCATTCACAACCGGTTTGTGAACATCGTGCTAAGAGGACTGAACAGTAATCAGCAGAGAACAGGAACTCACTAGGGAGCTGTAGGCAAAAGACGGCCATGATCAGGTCTGCATTGAGGAAGGGATTCATGGTAGATGTGAAGAAGACCATCGAGAGGCAACTGACCAGAATAGGGACGGCTGTCTGAGGCCAGCGAAACACAGGGAGGAATACTCACAAGACCTGTCACAGGTAGAAGCCACAGGGCTCGCTGATTTGTGGGAGATCCCATTGGACCAGAGGGAGGAGCAAAGCCGATGCTGCGGTTTCTAGCAAGCGGGTGCCAGTGCGTATTATTAACTAAACTGGGGCACAGAAAGGAGCAGGTTTGTGGGAAAACCTAAGGAGGAGTCTAGACATTTAGTTCAGGGTTTCACTTTATTCACGCTTTGAGCTGAGTGCAGAGATGAGCCAGTTCCTTCCCCGATGAAATCCGTAACACGATTAAGCAGGAAGAATTGTATTAATACTATGTTATGGGCTTCATCATACCAGCTTCCGTTTTCTCAGGGGTATAGTGTGGTTGCTTTCTTGCTAAATAAAGACAATGATGTCTATCCCACAAGGTACTCTGTGCAGATTGCATGAGACAATGTACACAACACCCAGAACCCTACACTGCCTTGCGCACAGCTGCTCAACAACCTTCGTTCCCGCCCCTTCATTCCCAGGCTACCCAGTGCCTCCTCAGCCCCACCTCAGCCCCACCAGGAAAAATACTTAAATCTAAAGGGAGGAAAGATGGAGGATGGCGATTATGTGGGCTCTATCTGTTCTAAATCCTAGACAAGAAAATGGAGTAAATACTTGAATAATTTGGTGAAAGAGTCACAAACGTGAGCATTTTAAACATAAGGAAATTGAAACCCAGAAGGGTTCCTCTAGAGAAGATAAAAGCAGTAACGGAATCCAGGATTCAGTTCCAGTGTTTCAGCCAGAGACCATGATTTAGTGGAATGTGGTAAGTTATAAAACTGGGGAACATACTCATTAGTGTATTTTTTAAAGATGTGGAGACAGGAAGTAGAGTGGCCAAGAGCTTGCACCCTGAAGGTGAGCAGAGGGCCTGACAAGTCCCCTGTCCTCTCTAAAAACCTCCACCTCATAATGGTACCTCTTTTACAAGGATGTTAAGAAGACTAAATGAAATAATGCACAAAAAGCACACTGCACGGTGCCTGGCATGCAGTAAGCCTTCAAGAGATATTAACTATTATTAACTATAAATACAATTTACCCTGTCCGATGAGGATAAAGTTCTCAGCCATAACCACATTGTCAACTAGGATTATGTCACAGAAAGGAAAATATATTCCACTGAAGGTAGGTTATCCCAGGCCCTGCACACAAATACACACCCAATCTGAACATTCTTCATGTTAGCATTATCCCTTTGAGATAAGTAGAAAAGAAAAATGAAAAGGAGAGAAAGCAAAAAAAAAAAAAAAAAAAAAATTAATAATAATAAATGAGAAAGATTTTAAAAAAAGAATTACTTCTCTAGGCTTTTGTATTGTGTCTATTTAATCAAATAGAAAATAAAATTTATGAGTCTCACATGGGATTGCTAAAATAGCTTCATCTCCACAAGATTAGATCTGAATTCTTATGATCAATGAGTCCAGTAGAACAAAGCAATTTCACAGGTGCTACAAAATCTTACCACATGGAAACGCAAGTCCATACCAATTTAAAGTGTTAAAGCCTAACCCGTCTATAACCTCCTTTTGCAGAAAAATCACTGCCTCGTTCAACAGTGTTTAATCAGACTTTCTTTGTGTGGGCAGCTTATTTTGTCTCAGGAAACATCACTTGACCAGAGCCTTAACCGCAATCCACGTGAAATACAGGCTTCTGCTGAACTGATTCCCACTCTGATGTTGATTGTCGAGTTCAACCCAGAACTGGGCTAAAAGCAGCCAGCAGAAAACTGACTCCTTTCAAGGCTTCGGTTTTAACTCCGTTAATTGATCTACTGCTCGTATAATCCAAAATGTGGCTCTCACTTTTAAAAACAGTAAGATCTTCAAATGTATGTCCCAATAGAAGCCATGGCACAGTGACTCCTAAAAAAAAACACACTTTTTTTTTTTTTTTTTATCCTCACCAGAGGATATTTTTCCATTTTTTGTACAGATAGAGTAGGAGGGAGAGAGAGGAAGGGAGAGAGAGAGAGAAACATCGACGTGAAGGGACACATCGAGTGGCTGCCACCCGCACGACCAACCAGGGCCGGGGACAAACTGCAACCGAAGTACGTGCCCTTAGCGGGAACCGAACCCGGGTCTCTCAGGACCGCAGGCCGACGCTTTAACCACTGAGCCAAACTGGCCAGGGCAAAACACACTTTTTAAAAAAGAGAAATGGCTTTGCCCATGCTGTCAGTTTTCCCTTCAGCTTCATCATTAAATGCATGTCCCTGATGAAGCCTTACTTTATCTCCCCATCAAACGTCATTTCTTATGCCTCTGATTTTTCATAGTATCCTTTTTTCTTTCTTTTTTTTTTATCCTCACCCGAGGGCATTTTTTTGTTTTTTGTTCAGATAGAGTGGGAAGGAGAGAGAGAGAGAGAGAGAGAGAGAGAGAGAAACATCAACGTGAAAGGGACACATCGAGTGGCTGCCACCCGCACAACCCAACCAGGGCTGGGGACAAACTGCAACTGAGGTACATGCCCTTCGCGGGAACCGAACCCGGGTCTCTCTGGACCTCAGGCTGATGCTCTAACCACTGAGCCAAACTGGGCAGGGCAGCATCATTCTTGTATGCCCATCCGAACACACCATATAATGCTTTGTATTTCTACACATGTCTTATTTACCCTTTTAAATTACAGATTCCCTAGGGACAGAGAAAATGGTGGCACTAGCCAGTTGTGCTGGTCGTTAGTGTTTTTTACCTTTCAACTTGGTGAGGCTGGGACTTGGGTTTCAGGACAAGCAGACCCAGAAAGGCAAAAATGCCTTCCCGCCGTTCATTCACTAGCTGGGTGATCTTTTCTGTGTATGGAAGGTACTTCACCTCTTAGAACCTAATTTCCTCATCTGTAAAATGGGGTTAGAAACATTGCTTTGGTTGTAGTGAGGGATAAATGAACTAACCTATGTGAAGTACCCAGCACAGTGCCCGATTCAGACAACTGGCAGCTGTGACTCACCTGCAGCTGTCGCGGTGCTCTGCGCCCGCATGTAGTGAACACACTGAATGAGCAAAACCAACCAACCTCCCAACCAACAAACAGGGCCAGATGAACAAGAGGCAGGAGTGGAATGACACTATGCTTACTGGATGAGCAAAAGGGAGAGGATAATGCTACGACTGAGCAAACAACTTTATATCTGAAGCCTTTAAAAGACTGTCTCTGTTTTAAACTGAGAACATTCTCTAAAAGGTATGTTATTAACCCACTGAGATAAAAGGTTGTGAAAACCGAAGCATATAAAGAAGAGCTGCTGGGGCAGCTCTGAGTCACTAGTGAACTGTGAATCTAGCTTAGGATTCCAGCCTCCTCTGCCTCCTTCTCCCCGCACAACAGCCCAACATCCTACTCCTGTGCCTACACTGAGACTCGGATACTAACTCAGATCTCCAGACCTTGAAATGGACCTTTTAGAGGGAAAAATGGACCAAGTATTTGATGGAATTAAGGAATTATTTTCAAGCTTTTAGGGTATAATAACAGCATGTGTTTATGTTGAAAAACAAAGCCTTTTGTCTGTTGGAGGTACATTCTGACGTCTTTCCGGATACAGCTATGGGATGGGGGGCGGGGGGGGAGGCAGCCAATTTTGGTAACTGTTAAAGCTGAGTGACGGGTACATTGGGTCCTAGAACATGGGATAGGTACATGGGAGGTACTATTCCCTTTATCTATGTGTATATTTGAAATTTTTCATAATGGGAAGTTGAAAGGGACATTTGCATCATAAGGTAAAAGCCCACATTGTTTTTTCTGTTTTCATTTCCACTTTTGGAATTGTCTACACTAAGGTCTTAGATAGCAAAGAGCATTCAGCTCCCACTGCAGCTTCTGTCAGCAGCCAGAGTCACATAAAGCAGTGCTGCTGAGTCCATTTCCTGAGACTGAGGGATAAAGAAAGTAAACTCGCCTCTAAGCACCTCTTAAACCTGGAGGTCTCAGAATACAGCTGCGTCTGAGTCAAAGGGAAGAAAGAAGAAAGGTAGAAATAAATCCCAAACAAGAGTCTGCATGTAGATTGAACTAGTAAAAGCACAGTTGTCTTGCCCTGACTTACGTG